ACATCTGACTTATATACACCTCTTCTCATAACAACAGTTCTCTTAAAGGAACATACACAGCCATGCTCCCTCTAAGCTGTGGAGTCCTGTGAGCAAAAATTCTATTTTGTGAGCTACTGGCATTAAAGTTGTGCGTGAGTGATTTGGTTACTACATAAATTAGTTTGCTCTGGAGCCATCCTTCCTGAGCTAAGACAAAAATGTGTGAGCTGAAGGCTAAAAAACTGTGAGTTAACTCACATTTCCCCCCTTTCTTAACACAAAACATAGTCCTTTGTCCAGCCAGGTGGTCATCTCATTCTTGCTTCTTCTTTCTCAACTGCTACAGCAGATGGTATATCTTGAGGAGATGATGATGATGGTAATATCTATATCTAAAAGTGCCAACTGAAGACCTGAATCGACCCTATAATGATCAGGCCCAACATCATTTTGGATTTCTGGCAACAAAAAAGAATAATCAGGTTCCAAACCAGTTTCACTCCCACTAGAATACATGGGTACCAAAATGGGAACCATTCCATACACAGCCATCTGACAATCTATAGGTATATGGTCCTTTCTTCTCCAGTCTTAAGAGGGCGAGGTAAATTTATGTTCTCTCTTCTGCAGAATCCCAGGTCTTCTTTTCTTTTTTTGTGAGTATTTTGTGTGTGTGTGTGTGTATGTGTGCATGCCTAAAAGTCATGGTTGATTTCTGGCAACCCATAGTGGGGTTTGGACATTTCAGAGAGGTTGCTTACTATTGCCTGCCTCTGCGTCCCAGCCCTGGTATTCCTTGGAGCTTACCTTCCAAGATCCGATGAGATTAGGCTGGCTTGGGCTATCCAGGTCAGGGCGACACCAGGTCTTCTTACTCTAACAAATGAACCACATTCAGACTTAACATCCTTAGCATCCCTACATTTATCTGTGCAAGCCTTATACTTCTCTTGCTTCTCAACCACTCTTTCTCTCAAATTAGATTCTAAGAATACATCAGACCTTGCCTTTGAAAATCCAAGAACATTTAATTTAGTACACATCTGTCTCTCATGTAATAATTCTGCTGGTAATCTTTGAGTTGTAGTATGTCATGTTGCCCTATAAGCTTGCAGAAAATTAGTAGTAAAAGCAGTCCATGCCTTCCCTTCTAGTTTAACTGTCTGCAAACTATCTTTCAAACTATTAAACTGTTCAATTTCTCTATTTGCTTGTGGGTAATACACCAACAACCTCCTCTGTATAATATTTTGTACCTCAAGAAAAGTTTCAAACTCCAAAGAAGTAAATTGGGCACCATTCTTAGAGATT